GGGCTTTAGAGACAATTATTGAGGTATCCCCCCTCTTAATATTCCAGCAATGCAAAATTATTTCTGCTTCAAACATTTCATTTTATATTCAGAACTGTTTCATATGAATAAATACATATATATGTATTTAACAAGTGTTCAAAGTGGGTCTTCAAATTAACCTAGGGTATAAAAATAAAATCTGTATTTGCTTTCTCAGAGCACTTGTGCCAGCTACTTTTACAGCAAGTTGGTGAGTTCGATGATAGTCTCCCTTTCAAAGGTCCTATTTAAGATGAACAAGTACAGGTGGCATCGAGAGGAGGATTCAAAACCAATTCTTTGATTCCAGTGTCAGTTTTCTTCCATGACTGCATGAGACAAACGGCTCTGTACCAGTTGGAACGATGACGTTTTGGTTTTGGTTTTGTAGAAAAGGAGTCAATCTTGTGTTATGAAGTCAGGGTAAGGCCTTGACATTTTTGGCTTCATCTTAGCAGAGAATTAGAATAACTGATTGCATTTATCACAGAGGTAATTTCATTTAAGTGGAAAACAGTGCAAAATGCTTAAATATGCTTATTGGCAAACTGCTAATAAGCTTTTGTGAGTAGAAGAAAGAAAAGGTTTGGGAATAGCTTTAGAAAGAAATGTTATTATTTAGCAGAGCTAGGGGAGGCCTTTGTGTTAATGACCAAAATGTGGAATGACAGCCACCCAGCCAATGGATTTCTTCAGAAACAAGAAAGTGAGGTGGAGACAGTGGTAGGCTCAGCCACACCCACCCTTCTACCCCAAACAACACCTCAGCCACTTAGCAATGCATGTGGGCCTCCAGAGCCATCCAAATGGTGGCGCATTAATTTTATGTCATGGCTTCCAGGCTTAGAGTCAGTTCCAGTTCTTTATCACTTTTTACCCTATGGAGTTCTTCACTATGTCTAACTTAGCATGCATGTGCTTTATGGATGTCGTGGCCAGTTCAATAAAGCCTCTTCATGCCACATTATGGGGATGGAATTGTACCCTGGAGTCAAATGTGACTTCAAATCCAAGCTGTGGTACTTTCTGTACCACATGTGGGTGCTCTGGGGAAATGACTTAATCTCTTTGTGAATCAAGATTTAGAAAACAGGCTGCCCATTTTATAAGACTATTTTTGAAATAAAATCAGATAGGTAGATGGATAGAAGGATGGATGGATAGATCGATCTATCAATAGATAGACAGCTATAGCCTGCCACCTAATAAACACTCAATAAATGTCAGTTTCTTTTCTCTTCCCTTGAAGGAATGCCCCGAATTTGTACTATGTTTATTCCCAAGAAGTGCACATTTTGATTATAATCCCATTGAGCACCCCCTGAAACTCCCTTTCCTGTCAATATAGGATCCTAACCCTGTCAGTGTGTGCTTGGTCGCATGCTGCCCTTCCCTTGTTTACTCTGGATGGCCTCTCTAGGCTCTTTCCACATATCTGACTTAACGGGTAGAATTCAAAACCGACCATAGTCCTTTGGAAGATGTGACCAGCAGCTGGTTTTGTGGAATAGTTTTCTGAACCACGACATTTTCCAGAAAAAAGAAATTGAAGGGAGCGGTATGGAGGGTGCAACTACAAGGCTGCCTGAACTTGTACTGCAGGTGCCGCTGATTCTCAAGTCCAATTGGAGGATGTTCCCAGGCTGGGGAGACTGTACCCTCTTGTGTGTATAAGTGGTCTCTTTAGTCTTAAACTTTCTGAGATATATATACCAGCAATGCAAGAGCATTTCTTCCTCTGGTCCTAAATTCTTTCTTTTGGAGCTGAGGATAAGCTGATACATAGAAAATGCTTAGTTATTCTTTAGTGTTCAATAAGCACTGAAGTATAATCTTGGTAATTAAAATATTTGATATGAATATTAAGAAGGCAATGAAGCCGATTCAAGTAATGATCTGGATTGCTTCCACAAACGATTATTAGCTATGCATATAAGAATATGCCTCTCCAAAGTATAGCGAAGACACCCACCCCTGACTGCTTTAAAAAGCTGTTATTTAATATAAATGAGAAGCTCTCCCACCTGATAAGTTTGTATTATGCATAACAACAGGAACAATTAGTGTAATAAACACACATATAATGTCAGCACTATTATAAAAAAATACATATGAATTTAATTTAAAAAACCCTTTAAAGAAATATTATTAGTATCTCCATTTTACAGATGAGGAAACTGAGGCACAAAGAAACCAAGTAACTTGCTGTAATGCAGCTCCTAAGTTCCTGAGCTGGGGTTTAAATTCTGGGGAGTCCAGCTTGGATCCATGAGCTAGGCCACCTTGTATATTATTACAGAACCAACTGCCATGAAGGATTGACTAAGAACTTTTTTTTTTTTAATGGAATAGAACAGATGTTACAGTGGAGATAGCGTCCTGTTGAGAAAAATTACTTAATTCTCCAGAGCTAGGTTGCACAGGGTGGGGCAAAAGTAGGTTTATAGTTGTGAATATGTGAAACACAGTTTATTCTCGTATTATTATCATTATCATTATTTATTAATTATTATATTATTTTCCACATGAACAACTAAAAATCTACTTTTGCCCCACCCTGTATTTAGCCTATAACCTTCATCTCTGTTTTAGTTTGTTTATTTGTTTTTAGTTTTCTTTCTTTCTTTTCTTTTACTAGAGAAATTAAAGTGCTTTGATGTTTTTTACCATCAAAACGAGAAGGGAACTTGCAGAAGCAGGCATCCTTTTGGGAGTGCAATGCTCATGGACGGGGCCACATTCCTTTCACTTGCCTTCCCATGAGTTTGCAGAAATTCAGTGGGTTTCCTTAGCTGAAGGCAAAGAGGGCACTCCATGAAAAGTGTTTATAAAATTTATGCTGCTCCAGGAAAAAACCTAACACCTGCCCCCCCGGGGGATGTCCACTTAGCCATGGAGTCTGTTGCTTTGCCCGGTTACTACTGAGGGTGGAAAAGAACCCCGGGGAGAGAAGATGAGGTCGGCCAGGGAGAGAGGAGGCAAGGGCTGCCTGGTAAGTTCCACCGAGGAGGAGGAAACAGGGGTGCTGCTCATGCTTGCCAGCCTCACAGCTGTCGCTGCTGAGGACAGAGAAAGGAGCATTGGGCTGGGAGGGACTGCTGCAGCTTGGACCAAGTGGTGAGCACATCAAGGACTATAGTGTGCTACTGCTAACGGCTTTGTGCAAGAGCCAGCGGAGTCTCCCAGGGCACCAACCACATGGCCGGAGGAGCTGAGTCTCAGCATCAATGCATGTTTGGTTCTCCACCTACCCAGACTACATCACCAGAGGTAACAAACAGAAAGGAGACAGTCACAGTACAATGGTAAGAAAATGCCATTTCTCTTTTCTTTCTTTTTGCCCCAATACCACCAAAGGATAAATCTAAAAGAAAGAAAAATCTGGAGCAGCGATTTTCATCCAGTGTGCCAAAAGAATTTTAAAACATGCAATACCTGACTATTTAGTCAGGGGCACTGACCTCTTTTCTTTTAGATTGTCAAATAAAAAAAAATGACAAGAGCCAACACAACAATAGCTGTCAGGTGTGAATGAATCGAAATTATACCTATTTATTTTGTCAGATGGGCAAAGAATATATTTTTTGGTGTGCCACAGAATTTTAGTAATTAGTTTATGTGTGCCATGAGATGAAAAAGGCAGGAAATCACTGATCTAGAGGGTGGTGAGAGAGAGAGAGAGAGAGAAAGCAGACAACACCTCTATCAACTCCAGAACCCTTTGGTGGAACCCAAGATTTAATTATGTTGAGTGTAGGGGCAGAGGTCTGAATAAAACATAAGATTTTAAAGTGGAAACGACTAATAAATAATAAAGTTAGAGATTTGCATTGAAATGCCACTAAGGAAGACTAATTGGGAAGTAGGATTAAACAAAGCACAGCTGGTAACACATATTGGAAAAATAAAATAATTTCATACATGAACCAATTAAATGTTCCTAATTAAACCAGTTGCAATTATAAAGCAGGTGGAAAGAAATATTCGCCCCTTCCCGCCAGCCCCTCCAGCCCCTCCAGCTTTTATCTGATTGGAGATTTTGGAAATACAAAATACTGAGTCCTCTACATGCAAGCGCAGTCAACATCTCCACCGCCTCACACACCTGTGCCTCGGCACTGAGCCAGTCAATGGCCCTTCACACCCCATGCTTCCTCGTGTGGCATGTCTATGCACAAGCTCTTCCTCTGCTCAGAGCGCCCTTCTTGCTAAAGTCTCTCAGGCGAATACCCACCGATGCTTCAGTTCTCAGCTCGAGAGTCAGATCTTCTCTGGAGCCATCCTGGCCTGCTCCTCCCTCCCTCTCCGATGCCTAGTCTCAGTCCCAGAGCCTTCCTTAATCGCCACCAGCCCTTATACATATCCCCTGTGAGACGCTTATGCTGTGTACAAGTCTGAGTTTGTATTTCTGTCACTCCTAGTAGACAGTGAGCCCTCTGGAGAGGAAGAAGGGATCTTAGTTGACTTGTTAAATCTACTACACAGCACAGTGTTTGGCATACAATATAAGATTCATAGATATTTGCTGGGGGGGGGGATGAG